GAAGTATATAAGAAAAAACAATCAACCAACTCTGCTGCCCTACCCCCCCACTTCCTAACAATGAGAGCTGTCTAAAAATGGAATGAGCTACCTTGGAAGGGAATAAGTAATAGGTAATAGGTTTTCCCTCAATGGAAGTCTTCAAGCAAAGGCTTGGGGGGCCACTTGTTAGGTATGTTTTGGAGTAACAACTGTTTTTTTTGTCCTCTGCCCCTTTGGTAGCGTGGTGAAAGCTATAGACTCCCCCCAGCTTAAGAATGCCTGTTTTAGAGAAAATTCTTCTGGTGTAAGGCTGAAGTAGATGGCCTCTGAGATTTTTTTTGTGACTGAGATTTTGTGATTCTGCAGCTGTTCCCCAGGTCTCTCCATCTTCTATTCTTACTACTGAAAGCTGGCTTCCCTTCATTGTTGAGTTGTTTTGGTCATGCCTGACTCTCTGTGACCCCATTTGGGGTTTTCTTGACAAAGATACTGGAGTGGTTTGAGTCCCAACTAAAATCTCACCTTCTACAGGAAGCCTACCCATATTTCTTTCCCCTGGTTCCAGTGCCTTCCCTGTTAATTATTTCCTATTTATCCTGTATTTTGTTTGCTTTGTATATATTTCTTTGCATGTTGTTCCGCCCCCATTAGATTGTAATCTCCTTGAAGGCAGGGACTGTCTTTTGGCTCTTTTGTATCCCCAGAGTTTAGCACAAAGTCCGGCACTTAATGTTTATTGAAATGAGTTGACTGGGAGGTCAGACTAGGACGTGAGTGAAGACATAAATCTGAATTTATGAAGCTATGAGGAAGCAGTCAGGCAAGTGGTGACTTGAGGATTAGACAGCAGTTGAAAATTGATGCCAGATGGGGAAAAGATAAGGATAGAGGCTGACCCTGAGCCAGTCACTTTACCTCTGTCCTGACTCAGTTTCCTCAACTGCAAAAAGGGGATAATAATAGCACCTCCTTCCCTCTATCTCCCAGGACTGTTGTTTGGGTCAAATGAGATAATATTTATAAAGCCCTTAGCACTGCGCCTGGCACTCAGTGAGTGCTTAATAAATGCTTGTTCCTATCCTCCCTTCCCCTCAGGCACCTTCTCTATGCTGAGTCATGTTCTTTATACACAACTTCCCAGAATGTTCTTTCTGGAGGAATGTATTTTATTTTTGCTTGCTAAATTCTGCCTTTTATCAATTAAATACAAAGTCCCATATTTTGAATACCAAGTGTCTGCTGTTATTTTAGATATAGCTGTAGGGCATGGAATTGAAGCTGAAAAATCCTTAAGGGATCATTGGCAAAAAGATGAGGTGGTCACACTATGAGGACAAAGGATAAGTGGGGCAATCCCTAGGCTCCATTGGTATCATAAGGTCAAAAGAAGTCCCCCACACAAACTTTGGGAGGATGTATATAAGTCATGAAGGATGGGCTAGAATGATATGTTGCAATCTGCATTGTTGGAGGGAATAACCACACTAAGAATAGAGAGCTTTTATTTCTACCATGGAGAACTAGCATGGTTTGGGGTTTCTGGGAACCCTAAAATTTCAGGGTACAGAGTGGCATCCACCTAGAATGAATTCCCGAGCTCAAACCGTCTTCTAGTCAAAGTGACAAGGTTTATTGTAAGGCCAATAGTTTGATGAGATTCTTAGGGAATCTGAAGCTTAACGGGGATGAGACTGATGTTTATATGCAAAAAACGACAGTGAACCAATCTGGATGGGATTAAGGAGTGGTAAATAGTCTGGGGTGGGGCAGGGGCAGCAGTGAAAGGAATATTAAGTAATCTGGGGTGGGCTGAGAGCTAATTAAGTGATCTAGCTGGGCTGGGGGAGGGGGCAGATGCCTTGGGCAGAGGTGCCATTGATCTGGGCTACTGAAATACATGGGAAAATTCAGGGACTGAGTTGCTTTCAAAGACATGGTCTTTTTCCTTTTAGGGGTCCAGGTCCCATCACCCCATCAGAACCATTGGTGCTTACTCAGGGGTTTTTAACTTGGGGTCTGTGAATTTGTTCTTTGCTATTTGTTGTTGTTCAGTTGTATCCAACTCTTCCTGATCCCATTTGGGATTTTCTTGGCAAGGGTACTGGAGTGATTTGCCATTTCTTTCTGGAGTTCATTTTACAGATGAGGAAACTGAGGCAAACAGGGTTAAATGACTTGCCCAGGGTCCCACAGCTAGTAAGTATCTGAGACTGGATTTGAACTCAGGTCTTCCTGACTCCAGGCCCAGCACTCTATTCACTTCATTACCTCACTGCCCTCTTTACTATTACTGTATTTTAATATAATTTTTTTTCGGTAATCTTTTGTGTTTTTATTTTGTGCCTTTAGAAACATGATTCTAAGGAGAGGTTGATAGGTTTTACCAGTCTGTGGAAGGGGACACAAAAAATGTTAAGAACATAAGTGATGATTTGCAAAGCTTTTCTAATGTTATCAGTTTGATTATATCACAAATATACATAATATATTTGGAGGCACCCCTCTTAGGGCAGTCTGTGCTGCATAACAATGATTGGTAACAGCCTTGCCCTGACCCTTCCAGTTTGGATGGAACTAAGTGAGTTATACAAGATAGCAAGCCTGTATGCTTTTCAATTTGCATACAATGCTCTCCTTTCTTTCTCCCCCAAACCCATCCACCCCTTTCTGAAATTTAGGTGTTTCTGTAGAGGGCACCACTATCCTTCCAGTCATCCAGGTTCACGACCTCAGTGTCACCCTGGACGCCTCACTTTTGCTCACACTAAACATAGAAGCAGTTACCAAACCCTATTCTATCTCCCCTACTTCTCGCTGGTCTGGTCCGTTCTCTTCATTTACACAGCAACCACTGCCCTACTTCAGGCCCTCATTATCTCTCACCTGGACCATCGAAATAGCCTCTTACTTAATCTCCCTACTTTGAGTTTCTCCCTACTTCAATATACATCTGTTAAACTAAGTGATTTTCCTAAAGTACAGGCTGGACCATGGCACCACCCACTCAATAAACTCCATCGGTTCCCTATTAACTCAAGGATCAAATATAAACTGTTTCACATTTAAAATCCTTCGCAACCTGGCCCCAATCTACTTTTCTATTCTTTCATGAAATAGCTACCTGCACAGGACACTAGACCTGAAGTCAGAAAGAGCTGAGAGCAAATCTAGCCTCAGATACATTATTTAATGCTGAGCAAGTCACTGTGCTTCAGTGTCCTCATCTGTCAAATAGAGATTAAGATGATAGGGTTGTTGGGAGGATAGAATGAGATAATGTTTGCAAAGCACCATATAAATCCTAGTATTATATAATGCTTCCCTTTCTGTATTCTACAGTGCATCCAAGCCGGCCTTCCTGTTGTTCCTCACACATGCAAAAACCACAATAGGAAATTAAGATATGATAGTATCCATTAAGCAGAACCACATCAAGAAGAGTGCATTATTATAGAAAACTTTCTACTGAAGAAATAATTCAATTTTACCTTTTTTTGTATAATATACAGAGAAACATGACTCCTGCTAAAAAGTTGTCATGTTCATAGACTGTTATGGACTATTATTTGGTTGTTGTATTGTGTTTTTCAACATAAAAGTATTTAAACAAAAATGAAATTCACCTATTTGGCTACCTACATTGATCAAATTAAATGAATAATTATTAACAAGTCATTATATTCAACTCCATCCTATCCCTCCGAGATTTTCCAAAAATACAAGAAAAAAAAAGAGAAACTCACATTGTTCTCAAGAGCAAAAAGGTTTTTGTAGCATCAATAAATAAAATTTAAAAAGAATTCAAAATTATTTATTTCAGGATATTAACATCTACTTGACAAATGTTTTATAATATAAACAACTTTACAAAATATATTAGGTATTTAACATTTGTGTTATGACACACAAAGTAGTACATGTATCTAACATGTAAATAAATATACATATATTGGGAGTATATGCTCAAAAATATTTTTACTGTTGGGGTGGCTGATCCAAAAACTTTAGAGAACATTACTGTAGGAAGACAGATTGTACCAGAGATGATTTTTTACGTGGAGAAGAGAAGGTTTTGGGCGACGAAGGGGATATGATAGCTGACTTCAGGTATTGGAAGGGTTATCATATATGAGAAGAGAGATTAGACTTGTTCTGCTTGGTCCCGAGAGTGCAGAATAAAGAGCAGTAACTGTAGAGAGGCGGATTTCAGCTGTCGACAATTAGCGCTGTCCCAAAGTGGAATGGGCTGCCTGGAGAGGTTCTTTAGAGAGTATCGAGCATTTCCTTGCTGCGGACGCAGTGGTTCGGCCACAGGTTGGCCACTGAGGTCCCTTCTAGAGGTTGTTGTTGTTGTTTGTCCTTCATTCTCGAGGAGGACCATGACATCAGGGAGGTGATGTTCAGTGCATGTTAATTTACCGCAAAAAGCAGGTGTGCGGCTGCTGCAGGTGCGTGAGACAGGTAGGAATGCAGCCCTGATCCCTGGAGGCGTGAGGGCGTTCAACGCCTTCTCACTCTAGTCTCCCTTTGGCCCAACTAGCAGTGCAGTGAAGGAAGAAGCTCCGCAGGTCACCCCTAAACTAGGGATGCTAGGGCACAAACAGAAGGTGAGAAGCAGGTAGCCCCAACTTCTACTGACGTTCTAAAGAGGCTCGGCCCCTTTAACAGACAGAACTAGCCTTCTACATCTTCATCGGTCTGAGTTGGATTTTGATTCGTCAGGTCTGGGGCTCCCGCCCTCCCCTCCGAGGTCGGACTCTGGTTGGTCCTCAGACTTGGTGGTGGGGCGGGGCCTGGAGAGAGGGGTAAGGGGAAGGGGGAATTTGGAGGGAAGGGCGGGGCTAGAAGCTTGCAAGGCCTAGAAGGAGAGGATGGGAGGAGAAGGGAGAGGCGGGACTAGCGGCAGGAGCAGGGAGGGGCCGGGTTGGGAAGCGAGGGGTGGGGCTGGGGCTGGCCCGAGGCCGAGGCCGGGGGCGGGAGGCGGGACCGCAGACTGCCTGGGGGCCGGAACCAGAGCCCTAGCCCAGTCCCTGAGGCTGCAGCCGCCGCACTACTACTCGAGCTGGGCGATGAGTGAGGGAGCCGCGGATCCTAGGTGAGTGAAGTTGGGTGGCGCGCGGCGGAGGCGGAGGAAAAGGCGGGCACAGGGACCCGGGGGGCAGCGGCGGCGGCAGCAGCGGCGGCGGCGGGTGAGGGGGGGATAGGGGCGGGACGTCCCGCTGCGCCAGCTGTGAGCAGCTGGAGCGGGAGGGAGGCCGTTCCGTAGCCCGCTCCGCCCTCCCCCTGCCGGGGCCCCGCACAGCTGGGTAGCCCGCGCGCCGCGGCGGCGGGGCGGGTGGGCAGGCAGGCGGCCGTGCGTACTCTGGGTCCAGGTTGGAGCCGGGCCCGGGAGCAGGTGAGGTTCCCCCTCCGGTGGGGCCCCGGGGGAGGGCAGAGAAGGAGCCGCCGCCGAGGCTGCGCTCCCTCCTCCCCGGGCCGAGGCCCCGAGGGGCGGCAGGCTGGAGCCGGCCAAGTTCATGGCCCCTTTGCGCCTCAGGTGCGGGCGGGACGGCGCCGCCTCGCTCTTGGCGGTTGGCCGTTCCTGCAGCGTGGCCAGTGGGGCTGCAGCCCAGGGCCGGAGGGGGCCCCGTGCGAGCTCGGTGCCCGGACTCGTTTTGCAGCAGCTGCCGCCGCCGCCGAGGGACCCCCCCTTCTCCCTTCCTTCGGGCCGTTCGGGTCTGGCCGTGACCCTGCTGCACGCGGGGTCGTGCTGGCTGTCCCTCCCCGCCCTCCTGCGCTCCAGCCTGCCCGTCTGCGGGGCTGGCCTGACGCCGGGTGTGGGGACACGGAAAATAAAACTACTGAAAAACACCTTGAGTTTTATGAATGGGCCTCAAGTGCCAGCTTCTGTTCGAGAGCTGGCTTCAGCTCCCAGGGAAGGGCTGCAGAAAAGGTGTTACTTTTATTATGTCAATGTTTATGCCAAGCTTGTCCCTTTGCTCTTCTGGCGGAGGGGGGAGGGAAGGACTTGTAGTCTTTAAAATGTACATTTATTCACGTGCCATTAAAAAGTCGATGACTAGTTGCAAAAACAAAAAAAACCCAAACCGAAAAACTTAGAAATTAACAAGTGATATTGGGACTAGGCCTTCTGCCAGTCTGATTGTTGTAGGGTGATCTATTATTTGAGACTTACTTGGCTGCTTTTAAAGATTAAAATACAGTTTTAGTGGAAGCAGGGAGATAGATGAATTCCATCTTAAATAGCTGAAATAGACTTTGCTAAAGATAGATTAATTATAGAGTTCAAGAAAGTATACAGTCGTCGTTCCATACAATCATACTGCTTTTGCAATTTTTTTTTTGTATTTAGTACATAAACAAGTTGGTCACTCAGATCATCCGTTGTCATGGTTACCTGTCATGGGTAGTAAGAGCAAAGTCTCCTTTCTTCCTCCCCCAAAGCCACGGAAGTACACTTATCACTAGATTCTGTACAGCCTTATGCTTTGTTAGAATGTGGTTCAAATTTGGACGAAAAGTATGAGTGCATTTTTCCAACCGGCTACAAGAATTTGAATGCACAAAGAATGAGTTTATTGTGTATTTTTAATGTATTGTGCCAGAAGGCTTTGAAGAAAAATATTTGAGGAAAAGACATTGGTTAAATTAGAAAGGAAGCTTTATATGTTGAGTGATATTGGTGTCATTAAAGGGGTTAATGAATGTACAGGGGAAAAGTCAAGCTTTTGAGGTGATAATTTTGCATATAATTTAAGCCAAAGAATCTTTGAGAAGGTTCAAGCTAATCAGTTTTTGTACTTGAACAACATAGTGATTGTATACTGGGGTGCCTACTCTGTTAGAACAGCTCTTTCTATCCATCAGATGACTTTTAACACTCAACTGCCTTTGCTTATTTCATTGTCCTTACTCAGATTCTTTAGAAGTTAATTTCTCAAATTTGTGGAGAATGTGAGTTACTTTTTTCCCCCATATGGTTTTTTTTTAAATTTTTAAACATTTTTATTTAAAGTTTTGAGTTCCAAATTCTGTCCTTCCCTCCCTTTTTGCCCTCCCCCCTCTCTGAGAGGGTAAGCAATCAGATATAGGTTATATATGTGCAATTATGTAAAACATTTCCAGGTTAGCCATTTTATACAAGAAGACTTGAATAAAAGAAAAAAAATGAAAGAAAAGTAAAAATAGCATGCTCTAGTCTGTATTTAATCAATATCAATTCTTTCTTTGGAGGTGGATAGTATTCCTCATCATTAGTCTTGGGATTGTCTTGGATCATTGTATTGCTGAGAATAGCTAAGTTGTTCACAGTTCTTCCTCTAACAATATTGCTGCTACTGTGTACAACATTCTCCTGGTTCTCTTCACTTCACTATGCATCAGTTCATGTTAAGTCTTTCCAGGTTTTTCTGAAATCATCCTTCTAGTCATTTCTTGTAGCACAGTGATATTCCATAACAATCAGTCATATACCAGGGCTTGTTTAGCCATTCTCCAATTGATGGGCTTCCCTTTGATAGCTAATTCTTAGCCACTGCAAAAAGAGCTGCTATAAATATTTTTGTACAAATAAGTCCCTTTCTCTTTTTTTTTGGATGTTTTTGGGATGTAGGCCTAGCAGTGGTATTACAGGATCAAAGGGTATACATAGTTTTTATAGTCCTTTGGGCATAATTCCAAATTGTTCTCCAGAATGGTTGGATCAACCATTTTTTCCCACATCCAGTTTTCCCACATCCCCTCCAACATCCAACATCTTCCTTTTTTGTCATAATAGCCAGTCTGATAGGTGTGAGTTGGTACATCAGAGTTGTTTTAATTTGCATTTCTCTGATCAATAGTGATTTAGAACATTTTTTCATATGACTATAGAGAGCTTTGATTTCTTTTTCTGAAAGCTTCCTGTTCATTTCCTTTGACCATTTATCAATTGGAGAATGACTTGTATTTTTATAAATTTGACTCAGTGCTTTATATATTTGAGAAATGAAGTCTTTATCAGAGATAATCGTTGAAATTTTTCCCAGTTTTCTGTTTTCCCTTTAATTTTGGTTGCATTGGTTTTGTTTGTGCAAAACCTTTTAAATTTTATATAACGAAAATTATCTGTTTTACATTTTGGAATGATCTCTGTATCTTCTTTGGTCCTAAATTCTTCCCTTATACATAAATCTGACAGATTAATTTACTTAAGGCTACAAGAATAATTCATATCAAGTTATAAGTGGAAGGGCTTAGTGAGGGTGAAGAAGACAGTATCACTATTCATAAATTCATACATTTAGAGCAAAGAGACTTACATACCTTAGGGGCTATCTATTCCAACCTCCCCATTTTATTATAATAATAACCAACATTCATATAGTGCTTTAAGGTTTTCAGAGTGATATACATACATACATAATCTCATTTGATCCTCACAATCCAGAGAGGTAAGTGCTATAATTATCCCTATTTTACAGATGAGGAAACTGAAGCTGAGCGATTAAGTGACTTGCTCAGAGTGACATAGCTCGTAAGTGCCTGAGGCCAAATTTGTACTGTTTTTTGGGGTCTCTCTACTGGGCTTCTGAGGAAGCCGAGGCCCTTCATGGGAGGTCACATAGAGAATCTAGTGAGCTATAGGTCTTATTGACCCCTAGCCCAGTGGTGTTTCCACCATCCCATGCTTTATTTTTCCCACCATGTTGACCCTTAGGAAGCTAAATTTACAAGCATATTTATCTCCAGGAAAAGGTGATGAATTTCTGAGTGGAGATTAACAAACTGATGCAAATTAAGTAATGATGTTAGTATGTTTCACAGAAAGATTTAATTAAATGGTGAATAGCTTAAATGGGGAGAGTAGCTTAATCTTATTTAAGCCTTGTTCTGTCTTGGAGTACCTGTGCTTCTGGAGTACTGGAAGGACAGTACTCTGAATAAAAGACACACTGGGATGGCATCCTTGGAAAAGAAAGGGAGTTTATACCTTCCATGTATCCTGTTTGACTTTATGCTCTTAATAGAACATTAATGCTGGTAAATACAATAGTACAGAATGCCTCACTTCCAGAAAGAAAGATAAGTCCACTGGGTACAGTGGATTGTTTTATATTAAAAAGGAAGTGGCATGGAAACAAGGGGAATGAAGGAAAACACAAATTGAAAGTTCATATTTGTATCTACTTCAGTTTGAATAATAATATCTGCCTAACTTTCCCTCAGAATCAGAGGTTCCTGTCTCATAAAGATTGTCTGAAGTTCAAATGGAGACTCCTTAATATCACAGAGTTCTTGGGAGAGATAGGGAAAAAACATTCCTGGTCCATTCACTTTGCATAAATAGAGTAATAATAATAATAATAACAACAATAATAGCATTCCTATAGCACTTTAAGGTTTGCAAAGTGGATTTGCAAATATTATTTCATCCTCATAACAACCTTTTAAGGTAGGTGCTGAAATTATCACCTCTTTACAGATGAGGAAACTGAGACAGATAGTAGTTAGGTGACTTGTCTAGGGTCTAGTAAGGGTCTTAGGCTAGATTCAGGCCTTCTTCATTCCAGGTTCAATGCCCTTTCTACTTTTCCACCTAGCTGCCCCAAAAAGAAGGTGAAAGTCAAGCCTTTCCTCCTACATTATATAGCCCTTTGGGCTATATCTCACAAACCTGTTTTAGGTCTCATTCCAATTAATGAATGTCAAATTCAGTAGCCCCCTCCTTATACCCGTATGTAGCTAGCTTTGGAGATGCGTCCCAGGGTGAGTTTCTGGGAAATACCCAGACGACCGGTTTTCTTCCCACCCTGGGAGAACTGTGGGCTCAGAAGGTTTTTGTTTTTGTTTTTGCCAGAGAAAAGCAGTGGCCCAGCTTGAACCGGTGACTTCAGGACTGCCGTATGCATGTTGAGGTGCTGTAGCCCAGGGAGCTGGTTGTGGGACCCGCTGGTACTGCACTTACTTCCCTTTTGAGGGGTTAGAATGGGAAGGTGGTTGTTGACTAGGTACCAGATTGAAGTATGGTCTCCCATCTTTTCTGCCTCATAGGGTACAAACTGATTCCTCAGTTTATTCTGCTCCAATAATGTTACTTTTCTCATTTCTGTTTAAGTAGTTTGCATTTCTTCTGCTGGCTAGGTAAGTCCAATTGATCTAAATGTTGTTCTGTGTTACTTTATTTCCAAGTAGGAGGGCTCTAGCTGGGAGGGATTGGTATTTGGGTATTGGTATATAAGAGATCTAGAAAGGACCGGAATTCAAGCCCTGGTCTCAAAGTGCTAAGCTTTCTCAGAGGCAGGTGGAGACACAGTAGATAGATTGTTATGCCTAGAATCAGGAAGACCTGAGTTCAAATCTTGCCTCAGATACTAGCTGTATGGCCCTGGGCAAGTCACTTATCCTCTGCTTCAGTTTCCTCAACTATAAAATGGGTGTAATGATAGCACTTACCCTGCAGGGCTGTTGTGAGGATCAAATGAGATAATATTTGTAAAAAAATACTTAGCATAGTGCCTGGCACATAGTAGGTGCTATATTAATACTTATTTTCTTCCCTCTTTCTTTTTCTTGGTTAGGGGCTCAGAGTTAAAAATAAGAAGGAATCTTAAGGCTTTGACTAGTAATAATTTTTTATGCTTCCCAGAAGACTGGATCTGGGTATTCCTTCTTTTGCTCTAGACTAAAAATGAGTCTGAGAACCATTTTTGCTGCCCAGGGCAAGGTTCCACTCCTCTGCCCAAGCCCTTGCTCTCCCTCCTCACACACCCGCCCCCCCTTTACCCAGAGATACCTCTTTCCAGGGGTGGGGTTGAGGGCAGTGACTAGATTAGGGACTATTCAGTGGGAAGAGAAGAGATGGTACCACTGTACCTGGCTGACAGGGCCCACATTTCGAAAATGGGGGATAGATGGAGGCTTGAATACATTTTTCCTTTTTGCTTTGTCGTCTGCCTGGAGCCTGGCAGCCATCACAAGCGTCTTGTTCTTTACCTTGTACTTCTTCCTGGCCAGTGAGGACCCTCATTCATTTCCTTTTCATTTCATCCTCTTCAGTGTTCACTTATTGCTAGCTTTTTTCTTGAGTATCTATGAGTTATTGAGGGTCCAAGGAATTTCTGTTCTGTGCTTTTTAGAACAATGTAGTGGTTAAAAGGGAAAAGAATCACAATTTTGGAGCTGGAAGAAAACTGAGAAGTTATTTAGCCAGCCTTCCTCATTTTAAAATTCTATGTTAACAACCCTTAGTTTATACATCTGACTGTAAATTAGGATATTTAGTGAATGTGTGAAACAACTGAAACAGCTGTAGAATTAGTTCCTCCAAAATGGGTTCAATTACTAAAATTTTGTGGTAGATAGGAAAGTTTTCTAACTCCAGTTCTTATTTCAGCTTGAAAATGTTTTGATTCTGGGACAGCTGCCTCCCTCTCCCTCTGTCCCCTTCCCCCCTCCCCTCCACTACACCTACACGTATCAAGCTTTAGCTTTAGGAACCGAGGAACAGTTAATATATAAAAAGGACTGGCCAAAAAAATGAATACTCTGACTAGTACTATATAGTGCTTGAAAGAGACCTTAGAAGTTATCTAGCTTCAGTGTTTCAACTCTGGTAGCTTCAAATAAGCTAAATTTAAATATAATCATACTTCCACTGAGACCTATTCTAATGCCTCACTTAGCCCCGAGGTAACAGTTCTCAAAAGCTATCATTCTGGAAGGGGCAGCTGGGTGTCACAGTGAATAGAGCACTGGGCCTGATGTCAGAAAGACCTGAGTTCAGATTTGGCCTCTGACACTTACTGGCTTTGTGATTCTGGGCAAGTCACTTAATCTTGTTTGCCTCAGTTTCCTCATCTGTAAAATGACCTAAAAGAAGTGGCAAACAATCAAATATCTTTGCCAAGAAAACTCCCAGTGGAGTCATGAAGAGTTGGACATGACTAAACAACAACAGATCATTCTGGAAAGGCTTTGAGTACGGCCACAGCAACAGATTTGAGGTTTTTGTTTTTGTTTTTTTTTGTTTCCTTCTAAGGACCAACCTAGTTAATAATGGAGAGGAACATCACTAATAGACTGGTCAGGTAATGATTTGTGGGTGGTGTTGTCGCTATAGCAACCCATGAACTCGATATGTAAAGTAGCCCTCAGGCCCCCGTCTACTTCTGTAGTAATGGTGGCAGAGAGGGAAAAGGGGAAGGAGGGTGATAAAATCATATTGTCTTTAGACAATCTATAAACTTTAATTTGACTGTTGGTATTCTCTTAATGGAATCATCTGGTCCAGTGACCAGCATGTAGACATAATGCTGGAGTTGCTGAATCTTGCTATCTTGAATCTGACATTCTTGCAATGTCAGAAACCAGAAGTAAGATGGACATTGCAGTTCACTCCTTGGAGAAGCAAAGGAATTGGTGAAAGGGTTTTTGTCATACCCCAATGGTAACAAGGAACATTATTTCATGGGTTATGTGGCTATAACCCTACTGCAGTAATAATGACAAGTATCTGCAAAATGATCCCCATGAAAATAATGGTAGCTTATAAACCAATATTGGTTACTTAAGATAAAGTAGAAAAATTTAAGAACTTGATAAAACACTCCAAATTAAGTCTACGTATACTCTGATACATGGTGACTTCAGTATATGATATGAAAGAGATGAGGATGGGGAGAAATGTATAAGAAAGTGTGTTTCAGGAAGAGAGGCCATAGGCTTGTAGGTTGCACAGAAGTTTCATGCCTTTATGTCATATCTTTTTTTTTTATTAATTTATTTTGATTTATCAACAATCACTCCCATAAGCTTTTGAGTTTTAAATTTTTCTCCCCCTCCCTCCCCAAAATAGTGTGCAATCTGATATAGGCTATACATATACATTACTATTAAACATATTTTCACATTAGTCATGTGGTACGTAAGATTGAGAACCAATAGGAGGAACCACCAGAAAGAGGAAACAAAACAAAACAGAAGGAAAAAAAGAGCAAATAGTGTGCTTCGATCTGCATTCAAACTCCGTAGTTCTTTCTTTGGATGTGGATAGCATTTTCTATCATGGGACCTTTGGAGAGGTCTTAGATCCTTGCATTGCTGAGAAGGACTGAGTCTGTTAAAGTTAGTCATCACACAACATGGCTGTTACTATGTACAATGTTCTCCTGATTCTGCTCGCTTCACTCAGCATCAGTCCATACAATTTTTTCCCAGTTTTTCTGAAGTCTGTTTGCTCGTCATTTCTTATAGCACAATAGTATTCCATTACATTCATATATACCACAACTTGTTCAACCATTCCCCAGTTGATGGGCATCCCCTAAATTTCCAATTCTTTGCCACCACAAAAAGAGCTGCTATAAATATTTTTGTACATGTGGGTCCTTTTCCCATTTTTATGATTTCTTTGGGATATAGCCCCAGAAGTGCTGTTGCTGGGTCAAAGGGTATGCACATTTTTGTAGCTCTTTGGGCATAGTTCCAAATTGCTCTCCAGAATGGTTGGATGAGTTCACAACTCCACCAACAATGCATTAGTGTTCCAGTTTTCCCACATCTTCTCCAACATTTATCATTTTCCTGTTTTGTCATATTTTTTCTATGAGAAAATAATTGGTATGTATTGGACATGGTAGATTCCAAATAACATTACAAAAAATGAAATAGATTATATTGTAGTAGATAGGAAAAGGCTTGTTATTGATTTTGGTGTTATCCCTAAATTGACTGTCCATATGATTAGACCATTGACTTGTCAGAGCTAAAATTAGAGTTAGTAAAAAGCAAGAAGAATAATAATGAGGAAAAGATTGGTGCACAATTGAACTCAAGTTTTGAACCATTTAAACAAGTATTGACAATCAAAAATGGGAAATGGACAACAGAAATGACATTGAAACCAATTATAATAATTTTACACAAAAACTTAACCAATATAAATTAATTGCCCCACCAAGAAGACCAAAAGTCTAGAGAGTATATTAATTGACAGAGATCTGACTTAACTTGCCAAACAGAGAATGAAGAAGCCAAAGTCACTTCCAATTTAGAATATAAACTTACTTGTAAGTCTTACGGTGAAGGATATCTAGACGATTCTCATAAAGCAGAGACAAGCACTTTGAAACCAGTTTAAAGAGAGCTTGACAAGACATTTGATTAAGCGATGTCATCTCCTGGGCATTTAAGGACAAAAATGGAAGGAAGACGGCAAATAGAAGAAAAAAATGGAAAAGATTTGTAAAAATTATTATATAAGCTCTCTCCCCAACCCCCACCCCCATCAAGGACAGTGGAATTAGCATACATGGACCCTAACATCATAGTATTAGGATAAGCTTATGGGGAATTAGAAATGACACTATGGGGAGCAAAGATGGGAAAAGCAGTTGATTAGACAAAACATAGAGGAGCCCTGTACTAGAATGACACAATTTGAGGGCATAAAGGACTCAATATACAAAGTATTTGAAAGAAGGGCAAATACCAAAGGCGTGGGGGGAAAGTCTTAGACCTTATTACTGCCAAAAAAAAAAAAAGCAAACAGAATTTCAGTAACTACTGACTTGTATGTTTATTTTCCCATTTATATAAGACTTTGAGAATCATCTCTGCGCAAACAATTGGCCTTCTCATTGAGGCTAACACTAGTGGAAAAAACAGCCTTGACAATTTGGGCCAGAGTTGAGCAAGAAAAGGAAGGCAGGCCAAATTGCCTTTGTGAAATTGCAAAACTCCTTTAATTGACCCCAAACTTTCCACAGAAGCAAAGTTTCATTTTTTTAATACTACCATACTATATATTATACTGGTGTTGTATGGTATAGGGACATGAAATAAATAATCTCCAAAAAATTAAAAATGACTATCATAGGGCAATGGAGAGGCACAGGGTGGGTGTGAACAG